ACCGCAAGGGGGAGCGGTAGTACCGCTTAAGCGGTAGTACTGCCCCCTAGTCAGGCAAGTTCCGGCCTGTGCTGCTGTCGCGGTAGTACCGTGGTCCTCCACGGTAGTACCGCGCAGCCTCGCGGTAGTACCGCGCCCCTGGTGCGGTAGTACCGCGTTGTGCGGGCTGAGTGAGGGGATAACGGTTGGATTTTCTCCCCTCCTATAAAAGGGGGTCTTCTTCCCCATTGAGTCTAATCCTTTGAGCTCGTGTTCTTCCCCCATTGTTGACCTTCTTTGAGCTTGCTAACTCTCAATCCCTCCATGGATTCTTGCTAGTTTTTTAGGGAAAAGAGAGAGGAGATCTAGATCCACATTTCCACCAATCACTTTCTCCTCTATGTGAGGGGAGCCCCTTGGATCTAGTTCTTGGAGTTCTTGGTGTTCTCCTTCTTGTTCTTCCTCTCATTTTCCTCCCTAGCATTAGTTGCTTCGGTGGGATTTGAGAGAGAAGGACTTGGGCACTCCGTGTGCCCTTGCCATTGCATTTGGTGCATCGGTTTGAGTTCTCCACGTGATACGTGGAAGTTACAAGTTGAGAAGCTTATTACTCTTGGGTGCTTGGTGCCCTTGAGCTTGTTTATCTTGGGTGCTTGGGCCTCCTAGTCGGTTGGTGGTGTTCGGAGCTCAATCATTGTGGTGTAAAGCTCCGGGCAAGCGTCGGGGTCTCCAATTAGGTTGTGGAGATCGCCCCGAGCAATTTGACGGGTACCGGTGACCGCCCCCAAGGGTTGCCAAAGTGTACGGGTTCGGTGACCGCCCCCAAGGGTCGCCATTTGTACGGGTTCGGTGACCGCCCTCAAGGGTCCCTTAGTGGAATCACGGCATCTTGCATTGTGCGAGGGCGTGAGGAGATTACGGTGGCCCTAGTGGCTTCTTGGGGAGCATTGTGCCTCCACACCGCTCCAAACGGAGATTAGCATCCGCAAGGGTGTGAACTTCGGGATACATCATCGTCTCCTCGTGCCTCGGTTATCTCTTACCCGAGCCCTTTACTTATGCACTTTACTTTGTGATAGCCATATTGTTATTTGTCATATATCTTGCTATCACTTTGTTGCTTACCTTGCTTAGCATAAGTTGTTGGTGCACATAGGTGAGCCTAGTTGTTGTAGGTTTTGTGCTTGACAAATTAACCGCTAGGTTTATTCCGCATTTGTTCGAGCCTCTACCGTAATTATTTTAAAACGCCTATTCACCCCCCCCCTCTAGGCGACATCCACGATCTTTCATAATGACTCATGTCGTCGACGAGGAGAAGGAAATGGCGCTTCCCGCCGTGCGTGGCCGGCGAGATTGGGCCGCACAGGTCACCGTGCACCAGGTCGAGGCGGTCACTGGCGCGGTAGCTCGCTGTTCGTGGGAACGATGTGCGACGTTGCTTCCCGAGCAGACAGCCGTCACACACCTGATCCACATGCTGGATTGAAGGGAGCCCGCGCACCATGTCCGACGACGCCAGCTTGCGGAGCGCGTCGAAGTTGAGGTGGCCGAACCTCTCGTGCCACGTCCAGGCCACCTGATCGACGCGAGCGGTCATGCAGACCGGCTTGGCGAGCATTGCTGGGAGCTTGTACAGGCAGTTGCCGCTGCGGGCAACACGCGCGATCAGCTTGCCGCTTCTGTCCCGGACCCGAAGCAGACCGTCGTGGGTCGACACCTCGCAGCCCACCTCATCGAGTTGACCTATAGAAATGATGTTGTTCTGCAGCTTTGGGATGAAGTAGACCTGGGTGAGTGCTCGATGACGTCCGTCTTTTGCGACGAAGAGAACGGTGCCGCGCCCGCATATCTCAACTGCGGAGCCATCGCCGAAACGAACGCGCCCCGTGATGCCGGTGTTCAGCTCGGAGAAGGCGTCGCGGTCGCCGGTCATGTGGTTCGACGCTGCCGTGTCGATGTACCACAGGTTATCGCGTCGTGCCGCTGCATCGCCGATAGTGACGTTGGCGTTCTGCTCGTCGAGGAAGACCTGGCCGCCTTCCTTGTCGTGGTCAGGGTCGGAGCTGAGGGAGACGATGTGCGCCATCAGGAGACTCCCTTCTCCTTCTTCCTCGTCCACCCGCGCGATGTTGTCCTCGTCGCGCTGCTTCTTGCGATAGTCACGCGCCCAGTGCCCGTTTTTGTTGCAGTAGCGGCACTTGTCGTCGCGGGTGGCCAGGCGCCCGCCGTTGCGGGGCGGCGCGCCAGCCTGGTTCTTGCCCTTCTGCTGTCCGCGCCCACCGCGGTTCTGGTTCTTGCCCTTCTGCTGCCCATTGCTGGACTGGCCCTCGCCGCGCTGCTTGCATCGCGCTTCCCACTCCTCCTTAGTGAGGAGCAGGCGAGTTCCTCCCGCGCTATCTTCTTCCTCCAGGCGCTCCTCAACCGAGCGAAAGCGCCCGGTCACCTCCTCAAGCGACAGCGTGCTGACGTCGAGGAGGGTCTCGATGGCAATGGCGACCTGGGAGTACTTCTTTGGAATGACGCGGAGAAACTTACGGACAACCTTCTCGTCGTCGACGGTGTCGCCGAGCGTGCGCAAGTTGTTGACGAGGGTGGTGGCGCGCATGGTGAACGCGTCGATGGTCTCGCCCTCCTTGAAGGCGAGGTTTTCGAAGTCCTTTCGGAGCTTCTGAGCGGTGGCCTTGCGTACCCGGCCCGTGCCCACCCGCATGGTGCGGATGGCCTCCCAGGCCTCCTTCACCGATCGTTTGACGACGATGGACCCGACCATCTCAGGCGGCAGGCCACGGAGGATGGCGGCCATGGCGTACTTGTCGTCGCGGAAGGTGGCTGTCTCCTTCCCTTCGACCGCGTCCCAAAGTGCCGCGGCCTCCATCTGGACCTGCATGACAAGCGCCCACTCGATGTAGTTTGTCGCCGTGAGCATGGGCGGGGGGGGCCGTGCCTCCGGGCTCGCGCACCAGGCGCTCCTGGACGACGATCTCCCAGCCGTTGCGTCTCGTCGAGCTCCTCCCACGCCTCATGCGCGGAGGAGTGTGCGACCGATCGCCGGTGTCGGCGCCGCGAGCCGCCGGAGGAGGCGAGTCGGTGGCCATGGTCCCCGGATCAACGGGCTCTGATGCCAATTGTCCCGCAATCGTGCGAGCTGCAGAGTTCAGGCGAGAACGTGAACGAGAGAGAGAGTTTTGCGCAGTGCAAAGTGTCGCTGCTTTTCTTGTTTATCTCTGAACTTATACAGGAAGCAAAAGTGATCGTGGCTTCAGCCACGCCCCCACAGACGCGATCGTGCCATCCCACGATACCAGGGCGTGTTGAGCTACTGGCCTCACACAAAACGTGGGCAGGATCCGGCTAGTCCGGCTAACTGAATGCTAACAGAAAATCTGACTAACTAACTGAAACTGACAGCTAACCTGACAGCTAGATTATTCAACAATCAGAACTGCATTGATGCCGAAGGTAATCAAATCATGTTTCTCTTTACCCCAAAACTGTGGAACAGTCGTCCTGCGGTAATTTTCAATTTTTCACTAATTAAGGTATATGTACTAGTACCTCCGTTTCAGTTTACAAGTCTTGCGCGTATACCTAAGTTGTCAATCTTATCCCCTTAATATAAACTATATAACACAAAAATTATACCGTCTGAAAATAGAACATCTGAAGTTTATATTGATATATATTTTGTAATATATGACTTGTATTAAGTTGGTTAAATTGACGACCTAGAGGTACGAGCACGCCCTGTCAACTGAGAGAGAGGTAGTACAAAGGATCAAAATAAAAAAAAATACAGTACTCAGACCATGTTGGCGCTGTCCCAGAAAGGGATTACCTGAAGAACCTGACGCATGGCTTGGATTTGCTTCCTGCGCCTGCTTCAAACGCCTCCGGCACTGTTACACCAAAACAATCGATCATCGTGCGCTGCCAAGTTAATACGATAGCACAGTGCTCCCTCTGAAAAAAACATTCTTATATTAGTTTACGGAGGAAGTACTATATACTGTACAGTATATGGAGAGGAAACGAGCAAGCCAGTTTCGTCTGCACTCACTCGGCTCGCTCACCTCGGTTTCGCCGAGGCAATTCCTGATCCCCTAGGCCTCCAGGTGCACCTCCAGCCGAGCGGGCAGCCAGAGTTTGGGAAGGAACCCACAGTGCCGCGTCATCGGGGTGCTTGGCCAAGTCGGCGTCGGCGGGCAGCAGCTTGCATGCCTCCAAGCTGCCGACGGCCAGCAGGAGCTCCCTCGAGTACGTCATCCTCTTCGTCCGCCTCGAGATGACGTCACTCCGCCCCTCCTCCTCCTCCCTTGCAACGATCGGCCGGTCAGATGAATCAATTGACAGACGGCCGTCGCTGTATGAACGAGCGTACCTCGGCGTGGCGACGGAGGGAGGAATAGCGGCATCATCACGAGGCGCCGAGGCCGAGCTCATCTCGCCGGCGGCGGGAACTCAGCCTAGTACGGCCGGGGCGGAGGGAGGCAAGTGGACGTGCGGCCGGCGGCGCCCCTCCTATGCTAGGGAGCTTTATACTATTAAAATGAACCCAGGAACGAGGCGTCGATTGTGACTTTCCCAGGCTTATTAATGTGCGAGCAGAGCTTCTTCAACTCCCCAGGCTTATTAATGTGCGAGCAGAGCACGAACGTTGAGATCGCAGACCAAGAGTCTGAGGGAAATCCTGTTGTTGGTCAGTGTTGCGACTCTGCAACTTAACATGTCTCCCCCGGCCTCGGCAACATCACGCAGAGGTTCAGGTTTCAACATGAAAGTTCATAGGCCGACTTGTTGTGGTATATCAAGTTCAGGTCAGTCAGATACTTCAGGAAATGAACATGTCAAGCTTTCTACTAAGACCACAACAGGCTGATAAGAGTCATGACAAATATGAAATCCATAAAATCGATGGCATAATCTCAGGGACAGTCAGAAAATCCATCATCAGCCCTCAAGGTTCAGAGTTACACCGACTAATCGCTACTACAAATCATGTTGGGTGAGGTTGATCAATCTCACACGGCAGCCGACTTGCGCAGCTCGTTCTCGCCATGGGCAAAGTGGCATCTGTCGCCAAACGTGCACGATCCTTTCGTGAAGTTGTCGCACAGCTTGGTCTTGAAGTTGCTTCCCTGCCCACTGCCGCCGCCGCCGCGGTGAGATCCTCCAGCCGGGATCACGCCCGGCGGAGGAGCGTTGGCACCGCCACTGATCCTGAAGATCAACTCCCTGAGCATGGCGCTGGCGTTGTTGATCTGATCAAACGTGCCCTCGAGCTCAATGTTTTTCAAGGCCTCGTTCGATTCGTGGTCCCGGATGGCCAGCTTGGCCCCGGTGACCCGGGATATCTGCTTTGTGTTGACTCCGCCCCGCCCGATGATGGCGCCTGCGAGGGATGCATCGACGCTGACCTTGGCTGTGGAAGAAGCCCCGAAGCCTGCCGGGGTGGCCATGCCAGGGCTGGGCATTGCCGGAGGTCCAAAGTGACCAGTGGGCCTTGGTCCCATATGGGGTGGCATGGAGTTGTTGATGAACGTCTGCTTGCCGAGCTCCCTCTCACCATGTGCAAAGTGGCACTTGTCGCCCCATTTGCATCCCTCTGCAGTGTTATACTTGTTGCACAATTTAGTCTTGACAGTTGGTGTAGGGTGGCCATCTGGAACAGCAGATCCTGAGGGCATTCTTCCTTGGGGATGTGCAAATGCTTGGCCACCTAGGTTGCTCATCTTTGCAACAGCCTGGTGGCCACCGGGGAAGTAATGGAGGAAATGGCAACCCTCACCAAAGGGGCAACCAGCGGTACTGCACAATGAGAATAAGATATGGGTAAGTAAATTAATTAGCAAAACAATTCATTTAAGCACAACTGATATTGACTGGGAGGATGCAGACATCAAAATTCATAAGCCAAAAGGCTCAGGAATATGATTACAGGTGTTGATAGCATCTGAAGAACAATAAACATCCTAGGGCAAACTTACAATCCAAATGGACAGAAGAGAAGTTCTACAGTGAATGATGTTCTGATATAGAGTGGAACTAATCTACATTTCGAATGTTTGTTGATAATAATCATTTCTCTGTGTTGGCTCATTCTGCATCACCAAATCATATGCAGTTTGGCAGACAAGAAACTATTCATGTGCGTTTCGGCAAGAGAAAAAATTGAACAGTTCCATAGTCAACATTCTCTGCTATATGTGTCTTCATCAAAGTACTTAAATACTGATGTTTGTTGAACGTCTGTTTCAGGAAGGCTCTCTTACGGATCATAAGTACAAATTTTATTACTGCTTGTGATGCTTCAATGACTCAACAAGCAACTGTTGATGGACATATAATTTTAAACCATACAGTAAAACTATTCTTGCATGTACCAAATGTTAGAATAAATAGTATATATCAAGAAGGATATATGTGGCAGAATTTCAGGTGTCCAACTCATATATTCAATCTTCTTTTCTCTCAATTTGATAAGAGGCTGTATCATGATATTACTGGCAGAATTTCAAGTGTCCAACTCATATATTCAATCTTCTTTTCTCTCAATTCAACAAGAGGCTGTATCATATGATATTACTGGCTGGTTGTTCGTCTGAAAAGAAGTTACATATCCTTATACTGTTCTTGCACTTTCACATATTCAGAAGTGATTTTGCACAGCCCATGCACATTCCAATTTTTACTCCAGTGGAAGTTCTTAAGCTTGGATTAGGGAGAACCTGTCGCACAATCTTGCTTAAATGATTTGTTAGCAGCAAGCATTCTTTCAAGATAAAAGTAAAGTTTTAACAAAATAACAGGTATGCAGAATAAATGTTACCAGGTGGAGTTCATTTTAAGTTGGACTATAACCTGAAAAATTTGGTGCATGGCTTCGATTTGCTTCCTACGCCGGTTTGAAATGACTCCGATTCTGTTGAATCAAATTAATTATGCGCGCCAAGTTAATAAGCTGTTGATTAACTAATCGCGATGCATAAAAGGACATTAATAGGCTGTTGACTAATTGTACAATATAGTGCATTAGTCGAAGCATAGATTACTAGTAGGAACTCTTCAGCTTGAACTAGTATCCAGCACTCAGAGCCTCGCTCCAAACTCCAGGCGAATTGTTGAGTAGGGAGCGAGGGCATGCCAAGTATTAATGCGCAGAATACAGAAAAAAAGAGGCAGACAGCTCCAATCGAGCAAGGCAACAATACGCGACATTTAATAGGCGAATATTCATGTGCTCGGGTAAAATTACTGATCCCCAACAAACCAGCATGCGGCGAATTGGCATATCGTAAGCAACGCGAGCTTCTGAATACCCCCAAAACCCAACCATGGAGAAGTACAGATCCCATCAGGCCACCGCACCACCTAGCTTCCCCCCAAAAAAAAAATCCCAAAACCCTAACCTAGCAACAGAGCAACTCAGCGGCATTCCCCGGGAACACTAAGCCGGAAGCTTCACCGGACTACAGAAGAAGGGCGCCCTAGAGAAGCCGCCGGGGAGGGTGATTTAGGGCAGGGCTCCACCCGACTCACCTCGCGTGCGCTTGCCTCCGACGGCGGCGCCGTCGGCCGTGCCCCTCTTGCGTCCGCCGCCTTCCATCGCTGCGTGCGCGCACGCGGTAGCTCCGGCGAGCTTGGCTAGGGTTTGTGGCCTGTGAGTCGTGGCGGCGAGCAGGGACGGAGGGAGGCTACCGGAACGGCACGGCACGGTCGCTGAAGAGATCCGGACGGAGGAGTGAGGAAAGGCTTAAAAGGCTACCGGTCGGATAGGCTACGGGCGCGGTGTTGGGTCGGACGGCCGGCCCGGATGGGTCGAGAAGACATTTTAGTTGTTTTTTCCTCTCCATTTCGTGGTACTTAAATTCTGAGCGCGGTGTTGGGTCAAACGGCCGGGTCGGATGGTTCGAGAAGACATTTTAATATTATTTTTGTTTTTCTTCTCCTCTTCGTTTCTTTGTTTCGCGGTGCCTAAATTTTTGAAATCTAATCTGCCCACAGTCATACTTCACTATGAAACGTGGGAGCTTGTCAAAATAACATAATTTCATGCAGAATGGTAGTGATATCCATTCACTTAATGTAAAAAATGAATTAGAGGGGTCGACACATTTCTATGAACAAATTATATCCGTTTCATAGAAATCTCTCATGTATTACTTCATGCATGCTACTTTCTTCCGCATTTGAAACCATTGACACTCTACCTTTTGGGTTGTCGTTCATTCACAAGCTCGTGGCCCGTTGCAAATGTGCCATGATATCACTCAGAACTTTGTCGTCAACCTCACCCCTCGGCTCATCCTTCACCACCCATCCCCTTTCATGCTCATGTGATCCCTCCAGCGGCTTCCCAGTCACCGTCTCCCATGGAGTTTCCACACCATCTTCTGCTCTCACCTTCTTTAATGCCCTGGCAGCCACCCCCCTCGTGTGGCGCCACTACTCCGTTTCGTGCAATGAAGATGAGGAACACTACATAAAATAGGACGGGGGTTGAACATGAGGCTGGATTTCCACATCCATATTTCTCCACACAAGTGATACTATGTGAATGCTTACGGTGACGAGAATCATGACGTGGTGAGCAGTACCTCCTGAATGGCATTCTTGTGTCGGCGGAATGACAAGGAGCTTAGGGAGGGGGGGAGCTCTTCATCGTTGGTTGTCGCTCTGTCGACGACGACGTACGCATGGGATTTCTTCCCCTTCACCATTGGTGATGTCACCGGGGAAGTGCCTAGCCGGTACAACAACTTCTTGGTCTTCGACTACCCACATGACTCATCTACCACATTTTAATCTGCGTTTTTTCTTGTTTTGTAAGGTGATCTTCATAGGGTATAGGATGATCATCCTTGATGATTATCAACATGGGTGCGCGGCAAGGGTGTTCACCAAGCATGACATCCAACACTCCGACCCATAGACATCTCCCAAGTATGCAAATTTCATTACCCCTTCAACACATTCAGCTTCCTCTCTTGCCCCCCTGGTTGGATCAAGATCGAATCCCTTCCTCCAAGCTGGCCATTTTATGCTCTTTTTGTGTTTTGTGTTTTGTGTTTTGAGTTTTTTTTTGTGTTCACTTACTTAATTTCCCCATGTGGGTTCTTATGCTGAATCGACAAGGCGTACCTCTTTCCCAATGAAATGACGATGTCGAAGTTGCAACACAACACAGGAGAACTGCAACAACCTTGAACCCATTGGATTTGTGATTGCTATGAGATGAAAGAGCATGAGGCCATGGATGGAGGAGGGAGGCGATGGGAGGTGGGCAGGCGCTCTGCGGCGAAAGCAGTGAACCCTAGCGAGTAGCGAGAGAGAGAAGAGGCGAGCAAGAAGTGTGCTCTCTGGACTGGGCTATCTCCGGGATAATTACACACCAATCTTAGGGCACACATGTAAGAGCATCTCCAACGGCCGCGCCAAACTAGTGCCGCGCCGCAAAATTGCCCGTTTTAGCGTGCGCGCAACCGGTATAGTTGCTCCAGCGGGTGCGCAAAAACAGCGCGCGCGGCATATTTAGTTCAGCGCGCGGGCCGAAACTCAATCGCGCGCCGCTTATTTGCTGCGCCCGCTCCCGCGCGCTGGACTCTCGCGCGCTCGCTCGCAACTCCCACCCCCCATCCAGTCGCGCCGCCGCCACCGCCCGCGCCACCCAACGACCTTCCCGGCGCTTCCCCAGCCTATCCCCGCGTCGCCGCGGCTTCTTCGCCCCCTCCCCCCCTCCGTAGTCCCGCCGCCCCTCACGCGCGTCCATCCTCCGACAAACAGCTCCCGAGCGCTCGCTGCCGCTCGGCGCCCGCAAGGTGTTCGACAAAACGCCTACAAGGTATGTATTGCTCAAACTTCATGAATTTGGTGCATGTTGATTGTAGTTTTTGTAGCATAGTATTGAACACTGTAGATGAGTTCGTCGTATGATTCTTCCGAAGAAGAATTTGATATGGAAGAGGAGGAGGATCTTGCAATGATCCTAGCTATGCATATCAATAAAAAACCGAAGCACGGTGGTTCGGTTATGGGTCGGCAGAAAATTTGGAGAGATAGGATCGATACCCATAACAGATTGACGAGGCGCTATTTCATGGAGAATCCCACATACCCGGAGTCGTATTTTCGTCGTCGGTTTAGGATGAGCACCGACTTGTTCAGGCGCATTGCAGAGAAACTAGCGAGCCATGACCGGTTTTTTCAGCAAAAGAGAAATGCCGCCGGAGAGCTCGGACATAGCACCTTTTCAGAAGGTGACAGCCGCTTTGCGTATGTTGGCATACGGTATCCCGGCTGATCTAGTTGATGATCACTTGGCTATGGGTGAGAGCCAAGCCATCATATGTGTCAAACGCTTCGCAGTCGGACTTGTGCAAGTGTTTGACGAGGAGTATTTGAGATCTCCCAATGCTGAAGACGCCGCAAGGCTATTGGCGATGAACAAAGCTCGCGGCTTTTCTGGTATGCTTGGCTCAATATATTGCATGCATTGGAGTTGTGGGCATGGCATGGACGACAAAGAGCATGATTTCTGCGTTCGTCATTGTATTGTTCATGAACTATTTGTTGTGTTTATTGCACTATTTGTTGTACTGAACGATAAACTATTTGTTTGGGTTGTAATAACGAAATTGAACTATTTATTGTTGATTTATTTTGTTTAGTTTGATCATTTTTGCTTCTATTTGAAATGTATATGTTGTTTGTGCGAGTCGCGCGCGCTGCATTTATTACGCGCTGCTGGAGCGTTGCATTTTAGCGTCGATGTTGGAGCCAGCGCTGACGGTCGCGCAAAACCAGACGAAGGGCGCACGGCAAACTAGTTTTTAGCGCCACGGCTGTTGGAGATGCTCTAAGAAAGGGGCTTGAGAAATGCGGTAAGCCAGTCTGGACTAGCCTTTTTCTCATAGCGCATCATATTCGAGTTATTTTCAACTTCAATTGCCTGAGTCCGACCCAAAAGGCCGGAAAATACTGACCCTTAAATCACTGTAACCAATAATGGTTACAAATTACACCATTTTTCGATAGTATGCCACTTACAAACCGGTACGAGTCAACCAGGAAGAGTACAAAATATGTGTGGAACGCTAAATATCTTCATTGTGGTGACATAAAGAGAAGCGATTATTGAAAACAACACCAGGGCGATCCAACGCATAGCTGGCGATTCGCCACAGCAGTGTAAAAGCTCAATCATCTTTGAGCTTAGGCTTCTACTCGAGCATGCCTCTCGCAGAAAGATTTCAGCCTTTCAAGGCCATCCTCAAGAGATGGCAGGTCAATGGCGAAAGTGATCCGAACCCAATCCTTCATTCCGAGTGCAGTACCTGCAAAAAATTCATGTACATCAGGGAAGATTTGAGCAACGGAGTAGCAGCACAATTTTTTCCCAACTTTGTGTTGTTGCTGTGTACATTTGTTTTAGTTCTTGAGGAATTTCTTTCAGAATGAAGTTTTAGCTATATATGGCCTGCCAGAAAATTTGTGAATGGTGAAAGTGACTTCTAACATTCTTCAGTAAGTACTACCTCTGTTCATTTTTATAAGACGTTCTAGACATTCAGACATTGTTTAAAACAGTACAAAGCAAGCTGTCTGAAACGTCTTATAAAAACAAACGGAGGGAGTACTATTTTTTGAACTCGGCGTTCTTTAGTAAATCCATTTAGTATAAATTTCATTTGCATTTTAGCATGTCTATGTCATAAAGATGGTAAAATAGCAGAGTTGTAATAGGGCAAAAAACTAACTCTTTAGAACGAGCTCCCAACCCATAATTGGGAAGGTAAGGTTGGTTTTGTAAATAATATCATGAAACTAGTAATATACTCCATCCTTTAGAAATGTATAATGCAGATAAACATTTTTAGGGTCATGCATGTCTGGTCCAGTTCATTAATTCTTTGTATATAATCTGGTCCTTCCTTATCAAACTAGAAAATCAACATATATACTTTTCTTGGTAACATAATCTTCTATTTATTCTTTGCACCTTATCAAATTGATACAACAACAAAAGAGTTTCAACATAATATAGAACTTCACCTGGTAAAACTATTACAGATTCTTCTTTTGCCAGCCTGCAGCAGAAATCTATATCATCAGAAAAGCCATCTAAGCAAGAGAGGTCCAACTTAGCCTGAAAAACAAGCATCAACTCAGAATTATATCCTCACTGGACTAGAATACAACTTAACCAGCTGATCTAGAGCATGTTAACCTGCGCATTTCCTTACCATCACAAACATTGATCCCTCCGGTTTGTGCGGACATGTAATGCCCCTGATGTCCTTTATTTTACCGTAACATAAATCTGCTGAGTTTCTTAATAAATCAAGAATTTTGTTGAAGTATTCTTCCTTTGTGTTGGCTATAATTTGAGGGACTGCTCCCTGTGATAAACAATTATTTAGAGTGTAAGACACTTGCTGGAAACCTATGGCGTGAGAGATAGACGTACATCGGTAAATCATATTATCTTAAACAACACGTGTGGAAATGAATAGATATTTATTCAAAAAGTGGAAATGATAAGGCATATATGTACCTGAATGAATGTTGCAGGATCACTTGTGATGTTAATATAGTTTTGAATTGACTGGTCAATCTGTTAGGAGAACAAAGATAAGTAACCAAGCCACACAACCGGGTGATAATATTAAGACTACCAACATGACCTTTCAGAAGGACTCGGTACACGTCGATAGCAAAAACTTTAGGAGGGTACACAGATATTTCCGCAATTGTACTTCGAAACTCAGTTACCAACGAAACAACATGTAAGTATGGCACAGTATGTTGCTTTGAACTCGCCCAAAATTTCAAGCCAGTATGGCACAAAAACAACTCAAGTTTTGTTATCAACTAAACTGTTTTAGACAGGATGAAGCGCAAAATTTATATATAATGGATTGGCCATTCGCCACAGTCAGAATGCAAATACCAAAATAGAAGATGCATCCAATTGTAGATCAAATGGTCACCTTGGTTTCCTTTAAGATGCCATTTGGGTCACACGTTGCGATCCATCCAAGTCGCCAACCAGGCACAAGCCATCTTTTAGATATAGCTCCCAAGGTGATGACTGGGACCGTCTTGCCAAAAATGCCCATTGGTATAAAAGGCTTACTTCCAAATGCCAAGTGGTCGTATACCTCATCAGCAATTATCAATATGCCAAGTTCTCCTGCGGTTTCTGCAATCTGCTCATTGCAAATACATGTTGGGCAAACTGCATCAGATACAAAACAGTAGTGAACACACTGTAGACTTACTTACTTTTCTAGGAACATATACTCACTTGGGCCAAATGATCGTGTGAGTAGACACTCCCACAAGGGTTACTGGGATTGATGATGAGTATCGCAACCGTGTTCTCATCAGCGATAGCCTTCACAGACTCAAGGTCTGCCTCCCAGCCTCTTTCAGGGACGAGGTCGAAATATCGAACCTCTAGCTCGCTGAATGTGGTCCGTGACTTGTACATCGGAAACCCGGGTCTTGGGAGCAAGATGTTAGCCCCGGGCTGGGCAAGGACGGAGATCATGATCTCGATGGCTTGGACGCATCCGGAGGTCAGGTAGATATCATCTGGTGAAAGCTCATAAGGAAGGTCTCGAGACAGGTACTCTGCAATAGCACTGTGTTTTGGCAAACAGATATGAGATGCTCTGTCCTGGGATGGCAACTTTTGGATACAGATAATGTGATGTTGGCCAGCAAAATTTTGGACAAACTAAATGTTACAGGTTGAAAATTTATAAATGAACACCTCATGCCAATAAATTCAATTACTCGGATGAAACGTGTTCAAAAGAAGTAGTCCTAGATTAGTACGTAGGTTGTGTTGTTTTGTGCTACTCCTACTGCGAAATACATCAAACAGGGTAAGTGCATTTATGAGAACACTCCTAGGAGTATATTCCAGACGACTAGATAGTTTCCTTTCCTAGCCATACATGGAGCAGATTGAATCCTGGCCATACACCGATGCTGGTGGAGTAGCCGGCCCGTGGGCGGGTGGGTGGACGTGCTCACCTGCGCGCCTGGGGCACACCGACGGTGGGGGAGTAGCCGTTGTGCTTCCTGGAGCGGAGCGCGTCCACGACGGCGTCCTCGGCCTCCGGCGCGGTTCGGAAGCAGGCGGAGGAGGTGGGGTCGCCGTGGCCGAGCGGCACGACGGGGCGCGTCCCGGACGCGTCGACGGACGAGTTGAGACGGTTGAGAACCGAGCGGATGCTCATGCTGCCGGCGGCCGCCAGCGGCGTGCCGGCCGTTGGCCGGAAGAAACGCCATCGGGATGGGGTCACGCCGACGCCGACGCCGTCGTCCCCGCGGCGGCTGCTGCCGCCGTTGTTCGCCATTCTCTGTGTGGCCGTACGTGTCTCTTCGTTGCTTGCCAGTGTATTTTGTTCAAGGGATTCCTATTTCCTTGTTAGGTTACTCCTTCTTGGCATTTAGTGCTACTGTCAGTGTTTTTTAACTCTATTTGTTTCAAGGCAACCAGCTTCGTAATGGACAGAGCATCGGACACCGGGTAATACAACCAACTTGTTATTTGATTCGCGACGATGGTCAGTGGCGGAAGCAGCTTCGGTGTCTTAAAAGTATATGCCCTTTGGGTCACTGATATATGGGCCAGCCACCTGTTGAGTTCATATGTCATAGACACAAAGGTAGGTGTCTTAAGGCACCGAAGCATCGTTCGTTAATGGGTACAAGTCTTCACCAGTCATTCAGTTGGTGTCGACAAGGCCTCCATGTATGGATTGAGTACGAGGATATGCGGATAGTCCGGGCATATGAGGACAACGTAAGGGGTCCAATTTAATACCCCAAACCTCATACTTGTGACTTGACAAAGCGTGTGGACCGGTGTTAGGATTCATTCTTCAGTGAGAGTAAGCGCAAACCGTGTCACGACAAAATTCCCTTTTTCGTCCTCGTCCATTGAATCAAGGCCTCACCTCCACCTCCCCTCCACATATTCTTCCTCCCAGGAAACAAACATCATGTTGTATAGTCTTCACCTTAATCGTTGCAGTGCTTTTTCCATTAGATCCCTTTCCCACATGGATCGATTTCATGAATAAACCAGTGGGGACTGGGATGGCACTCCGAGATTCTGTGGGATCGTCTATCTTCGTTGCATGCAGGTACCTCTTCGGCTGTGCAGACGCGGTGGACGCGGAGTTGGCAGCAACGGAGGAAGGCCTCGCCCTTGCCCTACATTGGTCACCCCTGCCGTTGACGTTGGAGACCGATAGTTCTGAAGAGGTCACTTTGGTGAATCCATCTACGCCCAACACATCTCGATATTCATCTAGGGTTCAGGTTATTCGAGAACATATCGAGGAAAGAGATGTATCTATTATTAAGATAAACCGCGAAGCCAACTCTGTGAGTCATGGCTTAGCGAAGCTAGGTAGAGAGCAGGTGAAAACTGCAGTGTGGCTTCGTAATTTTAAAGGAAATATGCCCTAGAGACAATAATAAAGTTGTTAGTTATATTTCCTTATATCATGATAAATGTTTATTATTCATGCTAGAATTGTATTAACCGGAAACTTATTACATGTGTGAATACATAGACAAAACAGAGTGTCCCTAGTATGCCTCTGAAGGAAATATGCCCTAGAGGCAATAATAAAGTTATTATTTATTTCCTTATAATCATGATAAATGTTTATTATTCATGCTAGAATTGTATTAACCGGAAACATAATACATGTGTGAATACATAGACAAACAAAGTGTCACTAGTATGCCTCTACTTGACTAGCTCGTTAATCAAAGATGGTTATGTTTCCTAACCATGAACAATGAGTTGTCATTTGATTAACGGGATCACATCATTGAGAGAATGATCTGATTGACATGACCCATTCCATTAGCTTAGCACCCGATCGTTTAGTATGTTGCTATTGCTTTCTTCATGACTTATACATGTTCCTATAACTATGAGATTATGCAACTCCCGTTTATCGGAGGAACACTTTGGGTACTACCAAACGTCACAAAGTAACTGGGTGATTATAAAGGAGTACTACAGGTGTCTCCAGAGGTACATGTTGGGTTGGCGTATTTCGAGATTAGGTTTTGTCACTCCGATTGTCGGAGAGGTATCTCTGGGCCCTCTCAGTAATGCACATCACTTAAGCCTTGCAAGCATTACAACTAAATGAGTTAGTTGTGGGATGATGTATTACAGAACGAGTAAAGAGACTTGCCGGTAGCGAGATTGAACTAGGTATTGGAATACCGACGATCGAATCTCGGGCAAGTAATATACCGATGACAAAGGGAACAACGTATGTTGTTATGCGGTCTGACCGATAAAGATCTTCGTAGAATATGTAGGAGCCAATATGGGCATCCAGGTCCCGCTATTGGTTATTGACCGGAGACATGTCTCGGTCATGTCTACATTGTTCTCGAACCCGTAGGGTCCGCACGCTTAAGGTTACGATGACAGTTATATTATGAGTTTATGCATTTTGATGTACCGAAGGTTGTTCGGAGTCCCGGATGTGATCACGGACATGACGAGGAGTCTCGAAATGGTCGAGACATAAAGATTGATATATTGGAAGCCTATGTTTGGATATCGGAAGTGTTCCGGGTGAAATCGGGATTTTACCGGAGTACCGGGAGGTTACCGGAACCCCCCGGGAGCTATATGGGCCTTAATGGGCCATAGTGGAAGAAGAGGAGAGGCAGCGAGGGCTTGGGCCGCGCGCCCCTCCCCCCTAGTTCGAATAGGACAAGGAGAGAGGGGGCCGGCGCCCTCCTCCTTCTCTCTCTCTCTTCCACCTCATGAATCCTATTCCAACTAGGATTGGGGGAGAAGTCCTACTCCCGGAGGGAGTAGGACTCCTCCTGGCGCGCAATATGTGGCCGGCCGGCCTCCCCCTCTTGGTCCTTTATATACGGAGGCAGGGGCACCCCAGAGAGACACAAGTTGATCCACGTGATCTATTCCTTAGCCGTGTGCGGCGCCCCCAGCCACCATAGTCCTCGATAATATTGTAGCGGTGCTTAGGCGAAGCCCTGCATCAGTAGTACGTCAAGATCGTCACCACGCCGTCGTGCTGACGGAACTCTTCCCCGACACTTTGCTGGATCGGAGTCCGGGGATCGTCATCGAGCTGAACGTGTGCTAGAACTCGGAGGTGCCGTAGTTTCGGTGCTTGATCGGTCAGATTGTGAAGACGTACGACTACATCAACCAAACGCTTCCGTTGTCGATCTACTAGGTATGTAGATCATACTCCCCCTCTCGTTGCTATGCATCACATGATCTTGCGTGTGCGTAGGAATTTTTTTGAAATTACTACGTTCCCCAACAGTGGCATCCGAGCCTAGGTTTTATATGTTGATGATATATGCACGAGTAGAACACAAGTGAGTTGTGGGCGATATAAGTCATACTGCCTACCAACATGTCATACTTTGGTTCGACGGTATTGTTGGATGAAGCGGCCCAGACCAACATTATGCGTACGCTTACGCGAGACCGGTTCTGCCGACGTGCTTTGCACAGAGGTGGCTTGTGGGTGACAGTTTCTCCAACTTTAGTTGAACCAAGTGTGGCTACGCCCGGTCCTTGCGTAGGTTAAAATGGAGTCAAATTGACAAACTATCGTTGTGGTTTTGATGCGTAGGTGAGATTGGTTCTTACTTAAGCCCGTAGCAGCCACTTAAAACTTGCAACAACAAAGTAGAGGACGTCTAACTTGTTTTTGCAGGGCATGTTGTGATGTGATATGGTCAAGACATGATGCTGAATTTTATTGTATGAGATGATCATGTTTTGTAACCGAGTTATCGGCAACCGGCAGGAGCCATATGGTTGTTGCTTTATTGTATGCAATGCAATCGCGATGTAATGCTTTACTTTATCACTAAACGGTAGCGATAGTCGTAGAAGCACAAGCTTGGCGAGACGACAACGATGCTACGATGGAGATCAAGGTGTCACGCCGGTGACGATGGTGATCACGACGGTGCTTCAGAGATGGAGATCACAAGCACAAGATGATGATGGCCATATCATATCACTTATATTGATTGCATGTGATGTTTATCTTTTATGCATCTTATCTTGCTTTGATTGACGGTAGCATTATAAGATGATCTCTCACTAAATTATCAAGAAGTGTTCTCCCTGAGTATGCACCGTTGTGAAAGTTCTTCGTGCTGAGACACCACGTGATGATCGGGTGTGATAGGTTCTACGTTCAAATACAACGGGTGCAAAACAGTTGCACACGCGGAATACTCAGGTTATACTTGACGAGCCAAGCACATACAGATATGGCCTCGGAACACGGAGACCGAAAGGTCGAGCGTGAATCATATAGTAGATATGATCAACACAATGATGTTCACCAATGAAACTACTCCATCTCACGTGATGATCGGACATGGTTTAGTTGATTTGGATCACGTAATCACTTAGAGGATTAGAGGGATGTCTATCTAAGTGGGAGTTCTTTAAGTAATTTGATTAATTGAACTTAAATTTATCATGAACTTAGTACCTGATAGTATCTTGCTTATGTATGTTTGATTGTAGATAGATGGCTCGTGCTGTTGTTCTGTTAAATTTTAATGCGTTCCTTGAGAAAGCAAAGTTGAAAGATGAAGGTAGCAATTACACGGACTGGGTCCGTAACTTGAGGATTATCCTCATTGCTGCACAGAAGAATTACGTCCTGGAAGCACCGCTGGGTGCCAGGCCTGCTACAGGAGCAACGCCGGATGTTATGAACGTCTGGCAGAGCAAAGCTGATGACTACTCGATAGTTCAGTGTGCCATGCTTTACGGCTTAGAATCGGGACTTCAACGACGTTTTGAACGTCATGGAGCATATGAGATGTTCCAGGAATTGAAGTTAATATTTCAAGCAAATGCCCGGATTGAGAGATATGAAGTCTCCAATAAGTTCTATAGCTGCAAGATGGAGGAGAACAGTTCTGTTAGTGAGCATATACTCAAAATGTCTGGGTATAATAATCACTTGATTCAATTGGGAGTTAATCTTCCAGATGATTGCGTCATTGACATAATTCTCCAATCACTGCCACCAAGCTACAAGAGCTTCATGATGAACTATAATATGCAAGGGATGAATAAGACTATTCCCAAGCTCTTCGCGACGCTGAAAGCTGTGGAGGTAGAAATCAAGAAGGAGCATCAAGTGTTGATGGTCAACAAGACCACTAGTTTCAAGAAAAAGGGCAAAGGAAAGAAGAAGGGGAACTTCAAAAAGAATGGCAAGAAAGTTGCTACTCAAGAGAAGAAACCCAAACCTGGACCTAAGCCTGAAACTGAGTGCTTCTATTGCAAGCAGACTGGTCA